TGCTGAAAGTAGGAAAGAGTTACTCAGGTTTAAGCAGGATTTTAAAGGAGATAGACGCTGTCTCTGTCTCTCTCATTTATTATGATCATACAGAATCAGAGGAAGGGGATCGTTTGGCATTTATGCCCTGTCGGTTGTTGCCAGCATCAACAGCTACAGAATTTCATAACCGGATGGCTCCCTAGATGCTATCAAGTTTAATGCTGTCACTTCACAGATATTAATAAGTAGTTGAGGCCCAGAAAGGATAAGCAACTTCCTCGAGGTCATTCAGCAGTAAACAGTGCTGAGCCAAACCAGCCTCTGGCTTTTCCCACTTCAACACCCAGTACTCCACCTGGGATTTTTTCACCAGGTCAGCATTCTGTCCTTGTGGTGCCAAAGGGGAGGAACACACACCCCCAAAAGTTTCTGACTTCTGCTCAGGATGCCAAAAAGTTCAGAAGCAACCTCAGCTCCTAGGCCCTTTTCAGACCCACACCTCTTAGTGGGATTGGGAGGATTCCAGTCAAATCCCATCCCTCTTCCAAACCCTCTTTGGAGTTTCTACTCTTTCCTTTCTGTTCCTTCTTATGTCCACTTTTAAAAGCTGCTTCTATAAGTTCCTCACCTCAAAGGTCAGGTATTCCCCAGGGCAGAAGTTAGCACCTGCTTAATTTGCAAAATCTGAGCTTCCCTTAAACGCTGTGCTTTGGAACAGGAAATACAGAACTCTTTAAGTTTCCTCCAGCCTCCCAGAGTGAATGCAATCAGAAGTGATCGTCCACCTTAAGGTAGCTCCAGGAGGCTCTTTACAAAACGTGTGAGGTTGCAAGGACGGATGGGGAACTCTTAGGAGATGAGGAGAAAGAAGGCGCCAAGGAGGGAAGACAACGGGAGGGAAGACTGGTGGAAGGCCCAGACTGACCTAACTGCAACGTCTGGATCCTGGAGACGGCTATGCTGCTGGGTCTGACTCACTGCCACTGCGGAGCGGACAGGACTGCCCAGGGGATAGCACAGTTTTAATTATACGCTCTGGTAACCGGCTAACAACAGAGAGGCGCCCTAAACCGCACGCGCAGGAAGCAGACAGAGGCTACCCAAAAGTGGCAGAAAAAAGGAACTCTCTCTTCCTCTTGTTCCCTTTTCTCATCTGACACTAGTCACGCCGCGCCTGGCAGGCACACCCCGAGTTCGCCAAGTTCCGTCGCGTCACCCCTGACGGGGAACTCCCCTCCCTGTTATCCTGAGGACTGGAGGGAAGCCTGGAGCAGCCTGGGTGTCTCTCAGCTCCAACTGTCCCCGCGTCCCTGCCTCTCGCCCCTTTCGGGGAAACTGAACGCAAAGAAAGGTTTTTGCTGCGTGCTTGAAATTGACGGGCGGTGGAGGGGGAGGGGGGTGCACATGCGCCCGCGTGGGGCGTCCCTCTGCTGGGGTCTCTTGCTTTGAGGGTAGGAAGCGTAAGTGTCACAGTTAACTGCCCCTTCCCCATACGCTCACCAACTCGCAAAACCGGAAGGAAGGCTTTGCTCTTCCCTTCTTCCTCTTCCCTACCTGAATTCCGGGACCAGGTTAGGCTGTAACCCGTAGAAAGCAGCGGAAAGAGTCACCAGCCACCCGGGCTTGTAACTCCCGTTCTCGCACTCCAGATAAGGCGGAGACCACTTGACATGGCTCTTGTCCCCGCCGAGCGCGTCCCTGCGTCGCCAGCTATGGCCCAGGCCCCGGGGCCCCTGGTGGGAGCCGCGGCGGTGTAAATGGGGCCTCCACCTGCGCCGGAGGCCGTGGAACCACTCGGTCTCCAGCGTGGCGTTGGCCAGGTGGTGTGCGGAGGAGGACAGGTCCTGGAGCAGGATGCGACTCTCCTCGCGCGTGGCCTGGAGGAAGACCTGCGGGGCTGGCGTGGACAGTGACTCGGTGCTGAAGGTGATGGCCGCCCGGGAGATGCTGGGCTCGCCCTCCAGGAGGCTCCGCACCAGCGCCTGGTACCACTCCAGGTCGTCCTGCAAGTTCTGTTCCCGCGACTTATTGCTCTGCAGCATCATGTTGAGGAAGTTGGTGGCGTGTGTCAGCGTGTCCAGCGCCCCGTGCAAGGACGGATGGGAGCTGGCGAAGGCTGGAGACTTCCCCGGCAGGCCGGCCAACTCATAGCGGCTGGAGCAGTTGGCTCGCTTCAGCTGGTGGGCGTCCCCGGTGTAGAGGTAAGAGGCCACGTCCACCGGCACCTCCTCGGCGAGTTTCTGCGCCAAGATGGTGCCGTCGGTGGAGCGGCTCCAGGCGGCCGAGGGGTCCGGGGCAGAGGCTCGAGCCGGCTGCTGGGCGTGCTGCTTCCCCCTCAGGGTCCTCTCTCGAGGGGAATCCGGCCGTCCCGAGGGGTCGGGGCTGGCGCCAACAGCTTCCCCGGGGGAGCGAAAAGGAGGCAGAGGAGTAAGGGGTAAGCCATGACTTCCGTCTGTCTTGCTGAGAGGAGACGAGGTAACCGGAGGAGTCACTTTTTACAATTGTGGTCGTCAATTTGTCAACAGAAAGACTTCTTACCGGGAGTCTTTCCCCTTCTCCAGATGGCACCCAGTCCAAAAGGACTTTAAAATTAGAATGTTTCGAAATCGCCCCGGATGGCTAAGCTACCGTCACAGGAAACCAAGTCACCTGTGGCAGCAGCGCCGGCTGCACCCGCTTCGCGACGGGTCGGCTCGGGATTACGCACCTCGCAGCCTTGAGCCGAACAGGTTACAGCCCCTCGCGCGCCCGGCAGCTATAGTTAGCCTGCTTACGTCTTTCTGCCCCGCGGCTTCCACCGCCGCTCTCATGGAGGTGTGTTCCGGAGCTG